CACACACACACACACACACACACACACACACGCACACACACACAGTTACATTGACCTTATACACCAGAGGCCGACATTTCGGCACTTGTTCTCTATTGTTCACCTTCTCTCTCTTGGGAGCGATGGCATCCAGCTCATCGATGAAGATGATGGCCGGAGCATTTTTCTCTGCCTCCTCAAACGCCTTTCTTAGGTTGCTCTCTGATTCCCCTGCCAGCTTACTCATAATCTCAGGACCTTCACAGAATAATGCAGAGCATATGAAACACATTTTCTCCTACTCAGATCTACAAATAAGAAAAACCAGGGGATAAATATGAATTAGAAGATAGAACATTTCCAGTCAGTTTCTAATAAATCTGTATACTTTTTTTTTTAAAAAGTTTTTAAAGAGTGGGTTGGCCATTTTTTTCCTCTCTTCCTCAACCCTATGTCACTGTGAACAAAAAAGAGCCTTACCATTGATAAGGAAGAAGAAGGCACCAGTTTCGTTGGCGACAGCCCGGGCCACCAAGGTCTTCCCTGTGCCTGCAGGGCCGTAAAGCAGAATCCCTCTGGGAGGCTGAGAGAGAGGAGAGGAGAACATGAAAAGAAACCTGATGTTAGAATCAAAGGAAGCCGAAATATCAGTGGATGTGATCAGGGTTTGTGTGTGTATGTATGACACCTTGACTCCTATAGCTTTGAAAAGACCGGGGTGTCTGAGAGGAAGCTCCACCATCTCTTTGATCTGGGCCAGCTGCTTCCGACAGCCTCCGATGTCATCGTAGCCGATGTCATTAAGGCTCTCTTCCTCGTCCTGTCAGAAGAAGGTATGCAAGGGTCACACCTGGAGTTTATTCTCAGTCGTGGATGTGTTATATACTAAGTAAACCATCCTGATGCCAAAACGGTTAAATTAAATCACCCAGACTTGCTGAAGCTCCTGTTTGTAACACAGCACAAATCCATGCTTGGTATGTAGTGTTTTCCTTGTACCATCAATAGGCCCATTCAGAACTACAGCAGATAAAATGTATTGTTGTCCAGGGGTCAAACGGAGACCTCCAGAAGAATAAAGTCCTTCATATTTAACCAAACAAGATTTCAAATCAGGAACATGACTGAAGGCTTTGGTTTACCTGTATTGTCCCAATCTCAACTCAAATGAGCTCAACGGGATGAGCTGGACCAGAGTGTTTGCAGCATATATACAGTACATGTAGAACTTTTACACTAGAAAAATGACTAAAATGCCTTTTATAAAGCCAAAGAAATTCCCACATTTCTGAGTATTCTGTTTATGGAGTTGTTATACTATGGATGGTGATGATGAGGATGAGCAAGATGAAAAACTGTTTAGAAAATGACCAATGACCCACCAAATGCTTGGGAAAAAGTGGATGCAAAGCTGCTGCGGGGTATATTCATGTATAATTTCCTGTTACTACAAATAGTGCAACACATTTCTTCCATGCTAACTACAAAATATTGCTTTTAGACGAGTATTATAGTATAGAACTGGGATACAAGTGATGGTGAACATCTTGTTGCATAAGCAGCTCTTCCTGATACCAGCTGGCCTCTCAACATTGACATTAAACAGTCCAGAAGCTCATAAATCTCTCACAGACCTCTCTCTTGATTGGCTCTCCCTCACAGTAGATGACAGTGTCTGGGGCAACGATGCAGTGAGGGTTGGGGTCGGTCTCCACCACTTTGAACTCCACCGCCCGCATGCTTCCCCTCACCAGGAAGATGTCATCTGGCAACACAGATAAAAAAGTTACCACATACAGGAGCATCTGAATGTGTTCTAGATGCTGTTGATTATATGATCAAATTCAGTGTTTCTCAAATGGGGGTACTGCAGGGGAAACTATTTTAAAACATGTAAAAAAAAATAACTGAACTATGTTTACATAAAAATGTAAATGTAAGTTCCACAAATCACATTTTATATTCAAAATTCTTATTATTAATGCAATCGCAATAAACAGGCCCAACTTATCAAAAAGTTGCAGTTCACTGCAAATACAATGTTTTCTTGTTGTTGCACGGGGACAAAAATTTGTTTGCATTGAATTTAGTGACGGGTTCTAAACATTTTAAATAAAGCATTTAAGTGTTTTTCTTAATAAATGCACTGATGGTGCAACACTGTATTGTAGTTCTTCATATAGACTTTTTCTTTCTTTGTTTTGCGCTGGTCAGGGGGTACTTGGCTGAAGTATTTCAAAAGGGGTACATTCATGAAAAAAGTGAGAACCATCGATGTAATGTTTGCTAATGTAAACTGACATGAACAAGAATAGGTTGTCATACCTGGTAGTAACAGCTTAGGAGAGATCATATTATGAACAGAGCTCTTTTACTGGGGTATGATCAGTGGCAGAGGTGTTGCTGTACCTTTGTGTATGGGCCGGTAAGCCTCCAGAAAATATGGTTTGAGGAAAACCTCAAAGAGGTTTCCGGTCAGGCCCTCAATGGTTTCATCTATAGGGAGAACATGGATCTTTTTCCCATACTTTATATCAGGGCAGGCATGAATACTGTGATGAAACACACACACCAGCAGAAATCATCAGATCATTTCATGTAATGATCTCAGACCTCACATGTATCACAAAGACACAAGCAGTAGTGAAATGTAACTAAGTTTGTGGTGCTTGTAAATTACTTGAGAATTTCCATTTTATGGATTATTCATTATACTTCTACTCTACATCTCATGCAGATATTGTACTTTTTAACACTACATTTGACAGTTTTAGCTACTAGGTACATTTTAGATTACAATTCTCCATACAGTGAAAACCATGTATATCAAAATGTGTTGATTTTGAATTTGAACTGAATGATTAAGTGTTCCTTTATGGGTTGAGAAACTTCTTAAACCAAAAAATATAATTAAGAACCCTAATGGATTAACTGGAAAATGTATTATCACAAAACTGACAAACTGGGCTGTGTTTCTGAGCTCATGAAAAATCAACTTTTTTAAAGATACCCAGTTCTCACAGAATAGTGATGCTACAAACATATGATGATCTTGAATATGATGCATCACTGTAGATTAAACTACCCAACAGTGTACAAAGTAGTTAACATGAGCTCAATCTTAAACATCTACAGCAGTAAAATGCAACATACACATTAATGCAGCAGTAATATTAATCCAGAAACATCATATTTAATAGTAAAACACTGACAGGGACCAATTTTCTGTAGAGTACTTTTACTTTATGTAGATTTTGTTTAGAATAATTCCATACTTTCACTTGAGTAAGGTTTTTAATGCAGGACTTTTATTTTCATAGTGTGGTATTTGCTTCTTTCACTACTGGACACAGGTGTGAGCTCTACCTGATGACATCACCAAGCCGGACACGCAGGTTGTTGCGCGTCACACGATTCATGCGGATTCGTTCATCCCCACAGGTGTCATCAGTCAGGACGATACACACTGTTTGACGACGCTTCCTCCCTCTCAACACCACTGTGTCCCCCCGGAAGAGCTGCAGCTCCTCTGTCTTATTCTGGTCAAAAAACATACACACACACACACACAAATCTCAGAAGAAACACACATGACCAGGATATATATTCACACACACACACACACACACACACACACACACACACACACACACACACACACACACACACACACAGAGAGAGAGAGAGAGAGAGAGAGACCTGTGACAGGCTGACAATGCTGCTGTCTTCATTGAGAGCTTCATCCACAACCAGTCTGTTAGGTCTGTGTTTCTGCTTCAGGATGGCCGTGGAGTAATCTTCTCCCTTTGGGCTTCCAAACAAGAGACATATTCATCCCACATTCAGGCTTTGCACTTGTAGCTCTAATTTCCTCATGTGACACTGAGCTGTATTTAGACTGTCTTTGGCTCTGCACGTAGCAACAATATGAGTCTGTAAACATATGAAAATATCTTGGCTAAAAGCTTTGGGTTTAATGTAAAAATAATTTGCGCAGATTATAAATAGCACCAGCTTTATGAAACATCTGGATTAACTGTCAATAAAATTTTGTACCGTATGTTCAAATATGCATGAGTAAGCATACACACACACACACACACACACATACTGTTCACATGCAGCTGTTTCACTCACTCCGTTCCTCCTGAGCCTGGCATGACTGCTCTCCTTTGTCTTGTCAGATTTTAGAAATCAAGATATCTGCTCCCTCACTGTTGTCTGCAGTATACTGTGGTATACTCAGGAGCTGATCTTGTATGGTCTTGTATTTCTGCTGTGATCAGTCCCCAAGGTGTCTGGTTCTGCCAGGTTCTGATTTGCCCTGGTGTGGATTTGGTCCAGAAGTTCCCAACAGAGAGTCTCAGGCTTTTCTTTTCCTTCAGTTTTCTTGAACCACCATGTTTGTGGGAGCTGCACCCTATCTGCTTATCAGTGGAGGTATAAATACGCTCTTCTGCTTCCCTGTCTTATTTGTAACCCCATCGTGCGCGCACACACACACACACACACACACACACACACACACACACACACACACACACAGAGAGAGAGAGAGAGAGAGAGAGAGAGAGAGAGAGAGAGCACTTACCTTGGAGAGTGTCCCAGGACAGATATAGCAAGATATTTCCTCCTCCCCGTGCTTCTGACCAGCATATGCAGGGACAAGTGCACACTTTCCGACTTACTGTGAAATATTTACGAGTCAAAATAAATTCTGCATAGAGTCTTTTTTTCCAAAAGAACAGACTTGTAGTCTTTCTCATCTGGGTAAGTCTTTTCTTTTCTAAAACACTGCATGGTCTCTCCTCCTTCGACTCCTTGTGACTGAAGGGAGCTGCTAGTGTAACCCAGCAGCTCTAAACCTTTGTTGGATTCCCTCCATCACACATACTACATATGCATATTTGTGTCTGGTACACACACACTCACACACTCACATGAATACAAAGGTGCACTAACACTGTTTATACTTTTCACAAAAATGCAACATGGGTTCATACACACTCAGAACAGACACATTGTGGTGTTTTAATTAAAACCTTTATTACTAAAGTTGTCCTTTAACAAATAACTTGAGACAAGCAACAAGAGCATAGACACACTGTACATTCCCCTGGTGAGAATCTGAACTTGAACACAGCTGTCCTCTCCTACAGATTTAACTAATGAGAATGAAACGATCACAGTACCAACAGTGGCAATAACCACTGTAACGTACACTTTCTGCTAACTGTAATGACCTGAAAACCAGTTATTGGAGGTGGCAAAGAAAGTGAAAGTGAAGCGAATAATGAGGGGAGAGAGGTAGAGGAGGTTTGAATGTGCAAAGAGACATTTACAAACCAATATGCTAAAAAAAGTTAAATAGAAACATAGACATTTTTTTTTATAATGCATGCACACAGAGGAGATGCCAAACCAGGAATGTCAAGCTGGGAATGAAATGTGTGAGAATTCGACAGCATTTGGTTTCTAAGGTTTGTCGGGTACAAACAGTTAAAAAAATGCTGGTGGTATGAGATTAGTTGATTGATTGACTCAGCTTTACCCTGCGATAACATCTTTGAGTTAGATCATTTTCGATCAATAATTTACAAATGGAGGCTGATTTATCAAATGGACTGATCTTGAATATATTTACATATTCACTCTACGGACCTTTTTCACAGCAGCCATCTTGGCATGAAACAGTAGGGTAAACACAGGTTTTATACATTCAGGTCAAACAGAGTCAGTGTGTTGTTATTGTGCATGTTGGCTCACTGGAAAGGGGAACTGAACATGATTTGCTACCAGATGAAATAATCTTTTTCACAGCAGTCATTTTGACATGAAATAGTAGGGTAATCTCATGTCAAAATGACTGCTGTGAAAAAGATTTATTTCGTCTGGCTGAGAGTCGATCGTTCTGCAGATTTCAGTTCAGCTAACTGGAGCATTTCTTCAACATTTCTGCAGCCGACTCTTGAGGCCTTTTTCACAAAGATATTTGAGATGCTCTGTAGTGTTAGTCCGGTCTTAATGTTGCTCTTAGATTAATCTAATGCAAGTTAGTCCAACTTATTCTAAAAGCTGGCCATCCTACCACCAGGCTAACTCTGAGCCATGTTTCCACACTAACAATCTGCGACACCTGCTGACCAGTGGCACCAAATAACAAAAGAGAGGAAAGCAGAGCTCATCATTTGTCGTATGCTAACAATGTTGTGGAACTCGTTAATAAGAAATAGAAGAGTTTACAGTAGTCAGTTGCCAGTTAGTGCTAGCTCAGTCGTTAAACTGGTGTGACTGACAAGTTATTAAGAAGAGGTTAAATTAAGAAGCCACAACATCTGAGCTCTGCTACAGGTCTGACCTGTGTTGTTTATTGTTGTTTACTGTTTATTCTAATAGAGGATTTCTGTATTGTTACACTCTTTGCTGAATTTTCCCAGTAAAATGTCTTTGAATCATTTCAAAGGGAAAACATTTTCTGCCAGAGTGAACAGACCTGAGTGTTTTGATGCAGTTACCCTGTCAGCAAGGTTTCATTTGAAAAAAGTATTAATTTACCCACAATTCCTTGCAAATTATTCTTACTTGAGAATTAGAAAGCTTTAAGCGATGGATGATTTTTCATCTATCTGAAGTCTGACTTGATCTAAGCCACAGTCAAAGTATATCTTTCTGAAACTGGCCCCTGATGTGGCGATGCATAGGCCAGAACAGATGCATTTATTTAATAGATTTTCATCTGAAATATGAAGCTACACAAAATCAACCACCTGCTGATCTACAAGCTGATGAGTTTCTACCTCTGAAACATTTAGGGGGCTTATTGCTTTGACCAACGACCGTTTGCACAAGGTCGTGAACCCTGCACCGGATTTTATCTCCACACTCCAGCCTCTGGGAATGCATTTAATCTGTTCAACTTCTATTTTGTTGCTGTTAAAACCAACATTCTCTGTCAGCCTCCGCAACCATGTACAGCATGTGTACAATGACAAACAAACACCAACAAGCGAGAAAACTTTGCATCACAGCCTCAAAAAACAAACCAAAAAACTTCCACGCAGAATAACCACGACCTCTTTCAAAACGTGCATGAAGTTACAGTATAACAGTTTAAAAACAAACCATCTTGCACAGTTTAAACTGCAAAGTGCTTGAATGTTGTACATTAAAAAAAGAGAACTTGCATGATTCTGTGTAACCTCTTAAAACTTTATATGTCAACTTTCTCCCTCCAACATTTGTGGCCTGTTTGGTAGAAAAGCCTAGCTGTCCAGGAAATCCAGTCTCATTTCTGTGGGTCATTTCTGGACCAGAGCTGTCGTAGAGGGACAGAAGGAAGAGAAACAGAGGTGTGTGTGTGTGTGTGTGTGTGTGTGTGTGTGTGTGTGTGTGTGTGCGCTGTTTGACATGAGATGAAAAGTGTATTGTACATCATGCATACATTTTTATATGATAACTTGAGCTATATGTAGATACAGACATAACAGTCTTTGTGTATATTTCACTTGTCTGTCGTTAGCAGTCGTCATCCTCAAAGTGCGTTTTCTGCAGAACCTTTACATGACGCTCATAGATCTTGAGGGCGGGGCCGAGTCTGATTGACAAGCCAGTCAAAACATCATTACGCTGCATGAGGAGAAGAGACTTGCCATCGATTTCCTAATGAAGAGAGTAAAGCAGTGTGGGTAGGTAGATATATAGGTTACAACTGTGAGAGGTTAAAGTACAGCCATTAATCCTGTCTCTGGTGGCCTCTAGTGGCTGTAGAAGTAGACTGCAGGCTCACCTGGGTCCTGAAGGCAGCAGCCTGCTCAGGGAAACCTGCTGCTGTGAAATAACTGACCACATCAGACACTGTCCAGTCCACCGGGCTCCCACTGGCCCCCTCAGACTTCATAAACCTAGAGAGATGAGGAAGAGGGCGGTTGGCCCATTACAAAACCTGCAGTAAACTAAGGTTATGTAAGAGCTGTTTTGTGTTGTTTTTATCTATGTTTTATTTAACTGGTATTTATTTCCTATGTTTTGGTAATCAGTGTTACGTCATTAGAGTGGACGCACTGGGATTTCCATGTTTAATGCATGAACAAATTGAACCTTGAACCCTGTGTCATTGTTAGTGTGAACAGGTAACAGTATCAAATAATACGTTCTGATTAATATTGAATTAAGTTAGCCTTTGTTTCACTTTATTTTAAAAGGACTACAATCAATATTTCAATAACAATGTATCAAATGACAATGTGAAAACAATGAGACGGTGTGAAATGGGGTCGCGGTAGTGATGAATGTACAGATAATTATTTATCACCTGAATCTGCAGCTCCCCTCCGCACTAGAGCTGAAAGTGAGTTTCAGCTCATCATTTAGCTGTCATTCCCACACAACGTTCTTATTCTCACCGCTCTCATAGAGTAAAAAAAGCTCTAAAAACTCACAGCGTGCTACTTTCTCAGAGCCAAACAGCAGAAAGACAAAGTTAGTGACTAGCTGGTGAACATAGTGGAGCACCAGACAATTCCCTCTGGGGTTGACACAGACCAGAAACAGAGGAAAAACAAAGTGAATATTGGACCAACATTCCTCACATGGACAGAAACACGACTCCATATGAATGATAATATTGCTCTGTAACTGCTGGATGTGCTCCAAGTTCTCCACATCGACATAAAACATACCCCCATATGGCCAAAATAATCTGTTATTGCAGGTTTAAGGTAATACTTGAAAAGGGTTATCTTGGACTGCACAGTGTAAAGAAAGCATGCAAAGCCTAATGCTGATTTAGAGAGAAAAAAATTAACCTCACAGTGACAGACTATGGTGTGAAAGTATTTTTTCTTTTGGCTCTGTACTCCAGCAAACTGAACTCCAACCCCTCTGTACATATGCATCTGCTTCACGTTAAAAACTATTCAGTGGTGCCTCCTCACTTCGTGCTTTGTTTTCACTACAAGAAGGAAAATGGACTTTGTAACATATCCAAAAAAGCAAGCAACAGAGGAGCAGACACCACCAAAGCCAATGAATCTGTTTGATATGTTCATTATCTCTGCTGTACTCACCCTCCACTGCTAACTCCACCGTTTATCCCTCGTTCTTCAGACACGCCAGAATCTCTTGGGGAGGCAGTGGGTGTGAGCAGGCAGGACGACACGCTGACCTCGGTCTTAGACTCCAAGCCTACAAAGCAAAAATGAAGGACAACCTGATTACCTGTCATCATCACTATCCACCAAACACAAACATACACAACACACAATTTGAGATTATCTGTAAAGCAGAGCTCACTGTTAAAGCCTGTGGAGCTGTGGTTGATTCTGTCATGCTGCATCTGATTCTGTGTGTGGAGAGAAGAGAGAGGGTCAAACAAAGATGCAAAGAAATTAGCATGACAACAAGACAATATCTGCTCCTTGGAACAAGTCAGATTCACGACGTGCCAGAGGAAAAATCATATTGGAAGCATCAGAGTGATATGACCTCCAACTAAACACAAGGATTAAAAGGAGCTGGCTGTGTCAACATGCATCATGACAAAACTGCAACATGACCATCTGCTGTGGGAGTGTAAATGATGCATGCATGTTGATGCAGGAAGTGGAGGGAGAGATAAAGCGAGTCACTCACAATTCCACCTCTCTTTTCTTGTTTGGGTTTTTTTTTGTTTGTCTTTCTGATACGAATGTGCCTCAAAGAGAGGACTGACTGTGACTCAGAGTATGCTGACTATGAAACAGAGAAATTAATAATGAATGAAAAATGCTGATTTGATGAGTTTTTTTTCCTGATCTTGCGTTAAAGTCAGTTTATGATATTGCGCCAGCACGCTTCGATGGTGATGTGTAGAATAGCATGCATGCTGGTATCTTTATTAAATGGATCAATCACCCTCACGCAGAATCACACATCGATATGACCCTAACCCTAGCTTAATTTTACACATAAACCCAGGTCAAATTTTTCAGGTAATCCCATGTGTTAGTAAGAGGAGTCAAGCTCCCCTGTAGTTCGCAGGTAGAGTCCTTTCTCTTCCTCTGACTGCCCTTTTCAACAGCTCTGGAGAAGTCTGACTTCTTGCCAGCAGGCTTTGCCCTGAATGCCCATCCCCCAGAGCAGCCTTGATGTTGATGTGGCTATGAACTGGTCGGATCTTTACTTTCAACCACCTTGTTGAGCGTTTGCTACAAGGTCAGCATACCTCAGTTTCTTGCGGTCACAGGCCTCATTCATTGTGATCTCCCAGGGCACTGTAAGCTTCATAATGTGAACAAGGTGGAGTTAGCTTGACCATAGCACAAGATCTGGTCTGATGTTGGTTGACTTGATCACAGCTGGGAAACAGAGCATCTGGCCTAAGTCTGCCACCATCTTCCGATTGCGTGCCCCACCAAGCTACCCAGTATCTGGCCTTGATCTGATGCGTCTGGTTTGATGCTCACCTTCCTGGACAAATGCTGTTGTCGGACAGTGGGATGAAGGGGGCGCAAGGGTGTTGATCTACTGATTTTCCATCCATTTTCGCACAGCTTTTCCAGGAGAGCTTCTCTCCAATCCCACCAATCTTGTCGACTGCCCTTGTCTTTCCTTTCTGTAACTAGTTGCCTCCTCCTGGCGCCGTATCTCTTCCACCACACGGATGCGTCTTCAAATGATGGAGTAGCTTTCTTCCGTGCTGGTGTGCGAGCCCCATAGACTGTACAAGGGAAAATGGCCAAGCCTCCCTGACGTCACCCATAGGTTTCTGAAGAGCACGTGTGAAGCTCAGTGTGGTCGGCTCTGGCTTTTCCCATCTTGGCAGTCCTGACTCCCCCAGCTACCAGCTATTCCAAAAATGGTCAAATACGCGGAGCATGGGTGGAGCTGAGGCAGCTGAAACCAGCTACTTGTGACGTCAACCACCTGTCCCTCAAAGCGGCCAAGCCCTGAATTATGCATAACTATAAGCCTCAATATAATTCAAATGGGTGAGGTCTATAAAAACTTGTTGTTATAATAAGTACAATGTTTGTACCAGGGTGTAAACCTGTTTATTTCTGCTGTAAAGTTGGGCATTTTTATATGGGGGCTTTTAGAGATTGATTCGCTGGTGGAGCCAGCCTCATGAGGCCACTCCAGGAACAGCATTTCAGCATTGGTTCTGGGTTAAGCTTGCTTTTGTGTGCCTTGTTCTTCCTCCACTTGGATGGGGTCATTGACTTTGCAATTTGTCCTTCTGTTGAACTTCAGTCAATTGACTTGACCTGCTTCTCAGAAAGTAGCTCTCGGTACAAGGCCCCTGTTACCCTTTCTTCAGGCACACAGTCTTGCCCTGATTTTCAGGCCTGTGTTGAAAGTAACCTTTGCCCAGCCACATATGCAACTCTAGAGTTTGTGTCCTGCTGCAGCTATTGAATCCTCAGGTGTGCTGATCATCGAAGTCATTGTGTGTTCTGTTCCTGTGTCAGTTGCAGGATTATCTGCTGATTAGTCACCTTCAGCCCCTGCTCTGGCTGACTCAGGCAGGTATCCTCTTCTTAAAAGTTTTTGTGGCCAAAGGTGGGTGGGACCCATTCACCTCTAGTGTTGTCTACTATGGTACTGGCTAGTAAAGTTTTAATGAGAAGAATCAAGTGCGGGTAAAAATGTTCAGTTCAAAGTATTTAAACATCCAGTTAAAAATATTCAGGTGCAAGACAAAAACTGCACTGCAGGGCACAAAGGAGAAAAGTCTGCACACAGACTCCCCATTTAAGGTGAAATAAAACACAAATGTAGTGGGTTTCACAAGCTGGGAATAAAAAATGTACTTGAAACCCATGTCAGTGAACAATGCATTTATTCTACTGGTATTTAATTTCAATTTAAAGGAACCCTCTCAATTTTTTGAGCACTTGTAGTGCTATGTTTAGTAGGTGCACATATGGGTGACGCATTTTACTGTTTTTGTCTGTTTCACTATTCTACTGATCATCAGCTGGTGGCAAGAAATTTAACAATGCACCACCAAAAGCAAGGAAGACAAATACTGCTAGCAAGTAAGCATGGATGTTAACAAATTGAGGATTTAAATTTTCTACAAAAAAACAAAACGTATGTTTTTTTTTAAAAAAAAAGTATGTTACTAGTTAGTTAGCCCTAAGTGGCTTTATTTGTGTGGGCCTGCACAGCCACACAGTTGTTTCTATTAAGACCTCTGCTCAGGCTGAAGGTGGGTGGAGCCATGCTAGACATTACATGAGGTCACCTAACTACATGAACCAATAAAAATGATAAAAGGTGTGACTCTCCGTCCACCAGGTGCAACAAAATAAATAAAAGGATAATATGTCAATCAGGCACCGTCTGTACTTGCCCCATTACATAATTTCATAAATGCTCACCTCTGTTAAGATGCTCATGTGTTAAGTATGCTAGCAGTGCCACACCAACCACAAACACAACTCAACATCCATTTGTCAAATTTCTTTCAAAATGTCTTCCTGTTGTATGCAGCAGGAGCCAAAATAATAAATAAATACTCAAAATTTCACAGCATGACACAAATTTAGAGCAATGATGAAAGCCACCATAACACATCATAAACTATACATTAGCTAAATTATTTCCTCCATGTGTTTGTACGTGAAAAGGGCGGTTTTCATCCCAAATGTTTAAAATGAATGTGTGTACCATGCTGTACCTCTCAGCTTGGAAAACTATCAAACCTATTATATCGGTTATGTTCTCTTTCATCCTCTTTCCTTTTTTTTCCTTTGGATAAAGTTAAAATTTTAGACACACAGTACTGTGTGTCTTTGTCGAGCCGTTGCATCCACATATTGCTGCTCATTATAACTACTGATTGTCTAATTTATTCCAAACAGAGACTGTTGCTGTTGCTGCCATAGATGTAAAATGCATCACTGTGTACAAAATGTGAGAGCCTTCGGGGGCTCAGAACAGCATAAAAACCTTTCATGAACTGTGTGTGAATCATGGTTGTGTGGTAACATTTGACAACATGGCTTCAAAAAAACAACAACCAGCATTTAAGAATGAAACTGTCACTGACTACACACACACACACACACACACACACACACTATCATCCATTACATCCACTACATCCATCAATTCTTGAAAATATTGTCTCTAAGAGAAAGTGGTATATCGAGGGTAGTTATAAATGTCACTCATGTACGTGTATTACACAAATAAAATTATACAATAAGTTGTTATACATTAATTCCAAATATTTTTTTATTTTATTATTAGAACACTGAAAATGGCTGTTGGCTCATAATGGGTAATTTTACATTTAATATTGAGGTAGCCTTCCTTTGAGTGTTGTACTTCTACTTAGAAACATTTCTAGTACTTTTAATAATGTAAAGGATTTCAATACTGCCGTAATACAATACTGGTAAAGGAAGTGAGATGTGGGGCATGTATTTATTGGGAATTTTTAGCCTTTATTAAAGACTAATAGAGAGATGGCAGGAAATTAGGGAACGAGAGATGCAACCAGGCCCCCAGTCAGACTCAGACGTATTTCATTTCATGGTCGGCGTCTTAACCCCTAAGTTGCATTTCAGTCAACTTGTTTTGTTAAAGCATGGGAAATACCATCATCCAGCAGTGAAAACCAACAAGACAGATGGTTGCACTTACTTGCGCCTCCATATGTAGCTGATCAGCTCTCTCCTCCATGTGTGCACTGTTACATCGTATGAGAGAAGCTCCCTGAACAGGTTGACACGGGATCCTGGTGAGGGGATCCATCTCAGACATCCCTGAGAGACCAGCAACCAAACCCAGATGAAATAATGGAAGAGAAACATTTAAAGGTCGTTTTTTATTATTATAATTATTATAATAATAATAATTATTAGCAGTAGTGGTAGTTGTAGTCAAAATAATCAAGTAATTGTGAATTGACATTAAAGGTATTTGCAGAAGGAACAAGGTAAAAAAAAAAACACAATTGATATAAGTTTTATTAATAATTGGAGACTAAATGTTTATATTATTGTTAAATATAAGTTAAAGTTATGATAAATAATTGTGAAAGTAAATATAAGTGAAAATGTTATGCAAAAATTCCAAAAAGGCAAAAATAAAATAGAAAAAACAAACAAAAAACACTCAAGTAGGACTTCTTGTAGGTGCAGCAGGAGCAGTGTGATAGTATTGATTAACAATGACAGAGGAAGATTAGTGATAATTAGAGCACACACACACACACACACACACACACACACACACACACACACACACACACACACACCCTTTGCCACCGTGTTGCTGCTGGGGGCTCTCCTGCTTTGATGCTGTCTGGATCACAGCATCTTCCGTGGTTTTCTCAATGAGCTCTGGTTCGGTTGTCATGGCTACCGGGGATAGTCCTCCCTCCTCATCAGAACTCCGGGGATTGTCCTCCTCTTCCTCATTCTCTTCCCGTTCCTCTTCTTCCTGGAGAGTGGGGGACGGCGGCTGCAATTACATATAAAGTTGGATTCAAACAAAACATTTTTTTTATTTAAAAATAAATAAATAAAAGAATAAAGGGTGAGTTAAGTGGAGATGAAGGAACACCTCCTGAGTTTGATCTGTAAGTTCTCACTTGGGCTTGGCTCAGAAACAGCATATTAGATTTGCTGCGCTTCTCCGGGGCGGAAAGAGTAGATCAAAAAACACCTCCCACTTGGAGAAACACACAGATATCAGATATAACGACAGCCGCCTACTGTAGCCTACTCAAGTCTGCACCCACAAGAGAGGGAGGACAGTGCGCTGTCTGGAACGATACAAAGGATTTAATGAGGCACGCAAACGGGAGAGATTGCGGGGATTGCGGGGAGGTAGGGCGAAAAAAACCTACGGGGTTAACACATAAAATGTCACATCCACTACACGAACAAACACGATGCTCGGGCTGTGAGGAGCTCCATCCTCAAGAGCAGCGCTCACAGGAGAGAGCGGCAGCGGCACGTCTCAAGTTTTTTAAGACAGACACCGCCTACTGCGCGGCAGGCCCAGACACTCCGCTCCGCCACACTAAAGTTCCTCAGAGCCTGAATGAAAGGTGGACTGACCCCCAAAACACGGACTGTGGAAGCGGGGACAAGCGCTCGTGCTCGCGCCGTGCAGAGACGCTCTTTAAAGGTGCGCGCTGGTGGGTGAGGGGGGGGGGGCCGCTCCGGAGCTGTCTGCTGCTCCTGTATGTAACCCGCACCTTTTTGTGCAGGAAGCCGAGCACACACACACACACACACACACACACACACACACACACACACACACACACACACACACACACACACACACATACACATTAAACCGAGGCTACAGAGGACAAACGCAGCACACGCACGGTGGCATCCCGCTGACAGTTACACGGAAACATCAATTCACCACCACCACCACCAAACACTTGTGCGTTTAAAGCATCGATGTTTATTACCAGACCAAAAAATATTTGGCGAGGGAAGCCGAGCGCGTCCCGTCTGGTGCCGTGTGTGCGGTTTTAACCAGCGATCATTCATTTATCAGCAAGCCATCAAGCCGGCTGCTGCTCAGCGCGCCCTGTACAACCGGGACGTGTTGGAAATATTAAGTTAGCAGTGCCCACCTTTTTCACTGTGGGCTTGTCCTGCAGTGCGCTCTTTATAAGTCTGTCAGCGGACGCATTCTTCGGCATCGGCTCCTCCACCACCACCCCCCTCAGAGGAAGAGTGATGTTCCCGCAGCGGGTCCTGCGCAGCCTGCCCCTCGCCACCTCTCTCTCCATGACCACTTTGACTTTGCCTCGGGTCAGCTTCTCCTCCGACAGCCGCTCCTGGCTGCTCAAATAGCCCAAAATCTCCTTCAGCCCGAGCGACTTGGTGTGGCCTCTGGTCGCGGCTGCGGAGCCCCCCCGGAGGCTCCTCTCGGACAGGCTGCGAACAGAAGCCACCAATCTGTCGCCCAGGTCGGAGTTGGCGTGGTTCCCCGCTGTTTTGTTGCCCCCTCCTCCTGCTGCTCGAAGTTTGGGCTTGAGGGGCACAGTCTGCTTCTGCTTCTGTTGTTGAGGGAGGTTGCCGACGCTCCCAGAACAAGTTTTGTTCTGGGTGTCAGCCCCGGACAAACCCGGCTCTGTCCCCCCGCGAACTGCGTCGGCTTTGCTCGGTGTTGTTCTGCTGGCATCACCGCCGTCGTCGTCCGCGCTTGTTCCGTGGCCGAGGCTGGGCGACTGGCAGTCCCCCGCTCCCTGCTGTCCTAATCCCTTGTCTCTCGGTGCACTTGCTTTCTCCTCTTTACAGCCGCTCCCGACATCGCAGCCCGTTGTTGCGCCACAACTGAGGCACCCGTTTCCGCTACTGGGGCTGGAGGCAGACTTGAGCTTCTTCCCGGCGGCGCTGGCTGATGTTTGAGTGTGGGGATCTGGGCTGGGCTCCGAGTCCTCCTCTCCCTCCTCCTGGTCAGTGAAGCTGTGCGCACTGTCGCCGTTGTTGTTCAGATGGTCGTGTTTGGTCCGCTCCCTCGCAGCCTCCGCGCTGCCGCCGCCGCTGCTGCTGCCAGCGGCCGTAAACTCACTCTTCTTTCTGCTTTTCCTCTGCACCTTCGCCGCGTTTCGGTACGATATGGAGCCCTTGTAGCTAACTTTGAGCACGGTCTGCTCTTGAATCAGTTTTTCCAGTTCTGTCCTGGTTCTGTCCGGGTCGGACCCGTGTCGTCTCCGGACCATTCGACAAATCCTCTCCAGATCCGGACGGGCTTTCCTCGAGCGGAGAGAGTCGATTGTTTCCAGGATCCACTCTCGGTACTTATTGGGCTCGGACATCTTCTGCTGCTGGTGCGGATGGGGTTTGGCCCGAGTGCGTCTTTCTTCCCCTCTGTTGTTTCACAAGTGACGCTGCTGTGTCAAAAGCTGGAAGCCAGAGTGCGATCCCCGGCTGGAGAATGAGGACGGAAGCCTGGCTGGTACGCTTGCGTTCGTTGGCCACATTGTGCGCTTAAGGTGGACCGAAGATGGCGCCTAGGTCTCCACTACAGACGCAAATGGCATTTAAGGTGGAATTTGGCTTCTTTCTCAGCGCATCGGAGCGATGTTCTTTGTTCGCAGCCTCGTCCTGCACAACCCGCAGTTTGTAACATCGGATTCGAACACAAACAAAGAGCAGTGCGCAACCCAAACAACGAGGAGAGGACGCGGTTGAGTTAGTGTTGTGTTTTTAAGCGTTATGGCGAATCAGACCGAGCCGGGCGGTCAACAGATGGGTGGATGACGGCTCCATTCCGCATCAGGCGGCGGTGATGGATGTGTGACCTCTGGGCGACATCAATCCAACCACAGACAACATTTCAAATATCTCATCATCTGCAGTTCACTCTTTTCTCCAAACGAGCGAAAACACACACACACACACACACACACACACACACACACACACACACACACACACACACACAGACATCACACACAAGTTCCGTAGAATTTTACAAGTAAAACTTTATTGGAATGATACTCATGTTGCAAAATATTACACTTCGTGTTTTTCTGTCACTGCTCCCGTGACTTTAGACGCTTCCCTTTGCAGTGTGTGTGTGTGTGTGTGTGGGGTGTATACGTGTGTGTGTATGTGTGGCGGGGGTTAACATGGTTTATATTGGGGTCTCATTTCCCTAAAAAGTGCGACAGTATGTACCAGCATTGTGCCTGCATCGAGAGGAAGTTGTATCACTGCAAAAAACATCGAGGAGACACAGAATAATATTGTATTATAACTTCAAACATTTTGTCCATGATGATATAGTCAACATTAAACTTGACATGGAGGAAATACAGCGAATGTGTAGTGTCAACAAGTGGTTTACAACAATGTAATAATAATAATAATAATAATAATAATAAAAGGTTTGTAAATTAGTCAATAATAACCAATAAACCAGCTGATAACTACAAGTAGGGTGTATGATATCCACCATGTAGCTCTTGTCAGCATTTATGTGCCAATGATCAATGAAATGTTTTCAGCTGTTTCACCTCACAGTGAGAGAATCTGAGCACTGAATATGAAAAGTAGTGAAAAGTCGGGTAATGTGGGGGAAGGGGATGGGCCCTTTTGGTCACAAGTTAGTTGCCTTGTATGTGACTCATTTCTTTGATAGAAAACAAATCAATCAAAAGCCTATTTATTGTACATTGGCTTACCAACTGGGCAAAGAGGGAAGCTGCCCAGGGCCCCAGATCTCCAAGGCCCCCTAAAAGCCCCAGACTCACTGCAGCAACTGGTTTGTGGTGTGTGTGTGTGCACGCTCACACACACACACACACACACAAACACACACATATATATATAGAAACTCTTTTCTTAATAATACAGAAGTGCCGGAAAACAAAACAAACATGGACAACTTAATGGCAGCCAAAGTCCTTCATTCAATGTAATTAAACCCAAAATGAATGGATATAATGTCATGTTATCAATACACGGTATTTTAAACTCTAGAAAAGCCAAATCAGTTATCAATCAACCTTCTTGAGTTATCAGATGATGTCAACGGTCACAAGTTGTTAACATCTTTCCCATCTCCATCTCATATGACGTGAACATGGAATAATAGTCAGGGTATCTAGGCCCCTGCTGCAAGTCTCTTTCAAGTTTTATGGAAGTGAATTACTGGAGTGACCCTTTAGACCTTCATTAACTCAGCTGATATTGCGCTAATTTGTGTTGAAATCAAATTAGCACACAGTAAACCAGGGGCCATGTATTATTCCACCATGGTGATACTGTACATGATGTAAAGAGAGTGGGAGGAATCGTGGGTTAATAGAGGCCTGGGGCCCTCTATTTGGCCATCACTTGGCATTTGGCCCACCTTGAAAATTCCTTGATGGTGATTTTGATGTCCATATGACTGGTTCCATTGTAATGTATAGCTGTGTGTGTGTGTGTGTGTGTATCACAGACGCACACAATTGTTATTCTTCTCATATCGGACATGAAGGACTCATGTGATCCAAAAATATCAGGATTGTAAAATGATCAGGGAAAAACCAGAGTGTCTGTATGAGCCAATTTAGAATATTTTCACCATGATGGCCCATTGAAGTACAGCTGTGAAGAAGGCCTTTGAATGTTTGAAACAGACACTGGTGTTACCTGGTTTCACTTGATAAGTTCAGAATGACCAAATCCTACGACAGAGCTCAACAGTGACCGCCCACTTTTAGAACGGCTCCGGAAGTCAGTTCCCATTTTATTTACTCCATTTAAACTCCTTATATAAAGAGCTTTAAGCGTGGAGCCGAGCCAGCCAACAATGAGATGAATCGTGACCACTGCATTGGACTCATGCAGTTTCCTGTAGACTCACTAACTAGCCAGCCTTCAAAGCTCAAAGCCCGCACTGACTTGCAGTGATTCTCTAGAATCTGTTTTTCCTCACACAAGGTTGATATCATACGGACTAGCTTGGATGGACGACACAATGGCTAAAAATTTGAAATCGCCTATTTAAAATATGAACAGGATTTTAACTTCCAGAACCTCACTGTTGAGCTCTACGACCACCAGTTCAGGAGCTAAGGAGGCTCTGAACACTGAAGTGCTATGCCTCATGTACTTAATATAGGCAGGCAGCATACCGAGCACTAACACTGTTGTCTTTTCTCAGTGCTATTCCCACTATCTTCAACTCCAGGTGCTCGAACCCGTTACGAACTTGGTCAATGCAGTGCAAGTCATCCTTACATTAGAAACTAAACGGAACAAAAACTGTGCATGTGAACACACAAGATGAGAATGGCATTGCTGTCACACGTAAGACTGTCAATATGGAGTGTGGTCCAACTTTGCAAGTGATAAGAGGGAGGAGAAATGGGAAGATGAACACAGGTTTCTATAAAAGACCTTAAAGCACACTATCCAGGCAACCTTCAAAGACTGGTCAGAGTGCTCTGGTGACCGACAGCCAGAGGCAGTTCGAGGTAGTCTGCCTCGGATGATGTCTTTTAGTTGGAGTTGGCCGGGGACAAACGGTTGATTCAAAGCGTCAAATCAACTTGACTATTGAGTGAGCTTTGAGCATAGACAGCGAGTGCTTTTAAGACCAAACAGAGCTGTTCGCAAAACAAAATCTTCTCGAAGGGGAAACTGTAGAATACGCAGAAAACTAAAAGTCTAAATATTCTCTTATGTTCATCTTAGTGCTAACCAGAATGTTAAATTCCCAAATCTACATCATAAACAAATGTCTCACACATCTTTCTTTACCTGCTAATCCTGATGCTAAAATGTGTGATATGTTCAAACCTGAGATACCATTATGTTATGGTGTTCTTTCACAACACCGTTAAAACTGAGATATTTCCCTTTCCCTATGCACATTTCCTTGTTAGTTAGCATGACGTGATATCGTTGGAGCCACTAAGTATCTAGTAACGTTTAAAGATTGAGTGCTGTAGATATGCACAAAGTCTGACTATGCTAACAATGATAAGAAGAATAGATGAGTCAGACAGTAAACTTAACTGACTTTTTCCCCCTGTAAGTGTCCCCTGTATCTGTCTCGGTCCGGAATTAGTTTGAGCACACAACGCACCGTTTTTTCTTTTGGCCAATCGTGCCAGTGACTCTAAGTATGCCGTCTATGGTATGAAACAGTTATGGTTTAAATATATAAGTAAAATTAAAGTTGTGACGGCAAAAACATAAAAGTTATTGAAGTGCATATGTGTGTGAGTTGTTTAAATGTTCACTTTAATGCTCCTCTTGCTCACCAGGGAAAGAGCAAGTTAGCTGGTTTAGCAGTTTAGATTTCAGAAACTTGTATGCCTCAACGGGCTGCAGGTAAAGACCAACAGACTGCAGCGGCTCAGAACAGACCAACGGATTTCTCTATGATGTGGGCCAAAAGTGACTAAATGACGAATGAAACAATAAAAGAGCAGGGAAGATCTTGGGTGAAAATGCGCAGAGGCAACTCTAAATAAGTGTGTGTGTGTGTGTGTGTGTGTGTGGGGGGGGTTCCCAACACCCATGAATCTGAAGCACACCTTCATTATAAAGGGATCCATAAATAAGACAGAATAATAAATAAAATACAACAGAAACGCAACAGAAAAGGCAACACTGCTGGTTATCAGTCTCCTTGCTCTTTTTCCCTTCTCTATCCCATTTTCCCTCTTTTTGTAGCTGGTGCTTGTGATTGGACAGGAGACAGTACTCTCTCCTTACGTCTCCCACTTGACCAGCCTACCTTTGACTCTCCCTACTTCCTTCTTTCTTCCTCTCTCGCTCTCTAACTCTAGAACTCTGCAAACTCCTTGGCACATTTCTCAGTGAAGGAGACGCGGATCTCCTCCTCCTCGTAGTCGTCAAAGTTGCTGGTGTCGCCTGGTCCTTTGAACTTGGGGACGAAGGGAGCTTCCACCTAAAGACAATTAAAAGCACCAGTTGAGATGGAAACTTTACTAAAGGGGAGGTCACACACACACACACACACACACACACACACACACACACACACACACACACACACACACACACACACACACACACACACACAGAGGCACACATACCTTTTTCTGGTAGATGGCAATCCAGTCAGTGGTTGCAAACCACTTGTGTCCCTTGATGTCGTTGACCCCGTTCTTGAGGTTCCCGTAACGTTTTGTGAGATCCACCTGAGGATAACACCAATACATTTATCTCACTTTTACATTATAATAAATTCAGAACACGCAGCCGGATGAATTATTAACATATTATTAACATATTTACACCAGTATGACTGAGATGTTTGCTTTTTACCTGTAATAGGTTCCTCAGGAGGTCCTTCAGGTCTGAACTGAAGTGAGATGGGAAACGCACCTGAGACAGAAGACCAGAAGAAGAATGAAGCAGCAGTAAAGTTTGGAGATGCAGCAGTGTGACCAGATGTTTGTCATTCTGAATTTCTCACTATTTGAATAAATCTGTACAGAAAGTATGTCGTAAGTAACTGATGCTTCATCTATCTCATCTCCCCTCCAGTTTCCAGGTGTGACTGTGTGGAGTGACAAATCACGAATAACAATGTTGGAAAAAATGCAAAGCTCGCAGGAAAAAAAAAAACACATTCAAATAAATATCTATTTTTACACGTCTGCTGTCCTCTGGCACAAAGCCATTATTGAAGCAGGGAAGTATGTCTGACAATGCCCTGTTGAAACATACTCACACAGGACTGCCTATTCAATTCCAAGGATCAAACCCGGTGTCCAAGCCTGCTTCTCTAACCTTTAAGCCACCATGATGTGGCCTGAAGAAGTGATGCATTTTACAACTCTGACATCAGAAGGGTTTGTCTGGAACGCAACCCCCAGAAACCTATCTTGAGCTGCAAAACATATTCGACAATAGAATGCAAATACAGTATATACCTTAATAAATACCAGTAAACTAGCAGAATTGGTGGTGACCAGTATTTGGCTAGTTACTCAAAAAATGTAATATATTACTCATTACGCTTTTAAAAAGTAATATAATTACTTTACTTATTACTCCCTGTAATCTAAGTGTATCTTCCAAACTAGTTTCCTCCACGATTACAAAAATAAATCCAAGGATGTGATTTGATTGTTGGATTTTAAATCAGTAGAGGGACAACAAAATTAATATTGTAACTAATTATTTTTTGGAGGAGTAAGTGTAGTATTATTACTGAAATGTATTAGTAAATATTCACTAGTTACTGGGAAAAGTAATATTAGTGCTGTAATATTATTACTAGTAATGAGTTACTGCCCAACACTGGTGGTGACAGCAAACAAACCCGTCCATGTACTATTAACTTCTCTACACTGAAACCTCTCTTTCTTTGGAATCCATAGCCACCGCTATTGAGGTCCAGCAAAATAAAGAGGAAAAGGCAGCAGGTCAGCACGTAATGTATGATGCACATTTTACAGGGAGCCACTGGAGAGGGGCTAAAGAGCCACAGGCTGCCTACCCATGGTCTGGAATAAATACAATAAGAACTCATATTTTACAAGACTAGTGATATCCAACATGGCTGAACATAAACTCAAACTTTACCAAAAGAAAGTTCTATGAAAGTAGAAATCACAGCATCAAAACTGTAAAATGATCTACAATCACCGCCCAAAAAAACATAACAACATATAGAACATATGCATTAAAATAGCACAGCAATGACCACTGAGGTGGTCATGCTTGGAACAGGCAACATAGGCAATAGCCTAGAGCAGCAAAAGATTTTGGGGGGGGGAAGGGCACCTATTGTGCATCTATAGTTGTGCATCTGTGTTTGCCCCCATGTGTGCATCCCCAACCCACAACAGAATCATTTAAAAGTGTCTTCACAAATGAAAGGCACACTATTAGGACTGAACTAATGCATCTCCTGGTGGTATTCAGGTGGTGAACTGACCTTTCTTCAAAACTCAAAATAAGACTGAAATAATATGTAAGCAATAATGCAATACATGTCTGTATCTTTACTAGCCTTAAATTAAAGTGAAAGCAGTCAGCAGATTACCCCGAGACAATATTATCTATCATATCATGTAAAATACCTGCCTACATAGTGTACAGAGGCATGCTTGACCCAAAACTGATAAGTAAATATGTAATGTAAATATAAACCACAGCTGTGAGGGACTGGGGATGAGGATTGGGTACTCACAAACAGATACTGAACATAGCACAAAGTGGTTTTTAGAGAGCCAGACTCACCTTCCCCGATACGATCTTTTCATAGATCTGAATGGGCTGGTCAGCAAAGAAAGGAGGGTACCCTGCTGCCATCTCATAAACGAGTACGCCCAGTGCCCACCAGTCTACTGCCTTGTTATACCCCTGGGGGTATTGGGAGGAGAAAAGAGACACAATTATAGACAGTTTACCAAGATAAAATGAAAAGAAAGTGTTTTTCGTTTTTCGTTTTTTCGGGCTTTATTAAACTTCATTCATCTTATACTCCAGTTTAACTGCATCTTATTGACCATACTCATCTTAACACTGTGCATCCCATCTAGAGATTCAGAGCGGAGAGACATGATTGTGCATACAGCATGTCAGTGGCAGTAATGAATTAGTCAAAATGTTTTTTTGATATTATCTTGAAGACGAGAACCAATTGAGAGCATCTCACAGAGAGAAAGTAGCGCTCAATAACATTAATCAAAATATAAATAAAGATGTGATGATGATTGCTGTCACAATTTCTGACCAAAAGTAAGCACAGGATTTATCTTTGTTTGCTGCAGCGTACGGACGCTGGTAGCCAAACTTTGTGAAATATTTGTGACAGCTTTGTTCACAACCACTTTTAGCTGCGGTAGTTAATTGTGACTGATGTTACTTCTTGTTTTGAGGAACATCTGAGCTGTGTGCGCTCTCCTTAAACCCACATGCTCCGAGTAGTTTTAAAAACCCAAGTGAGCAGTTTCCCCTAGAACCATGTCCTGGTTCTGGTAGGACCATAAATAACAGCAACCGTGTCTTACAATTCTACCACCTCAATTAACAGCTATCCTATTATATAACTTTGTGCAAAAGGCTGATATCATTGTTTGTTCAGATGACAATTCACAAGATATTAAAGGAGAACAATGGTGGCTCACCTTGCTGAGAATAATCTCTGGGGCCAGATATTCTGGGGTGCCACACAGTGTCCAGGTCCGGCCCTTTACACGTTTGGCAAAGCCAAAATCTGTCACCTGAGAGAGTAAAATAAAGAGTCATGACAAATAATGAGAAAGAGAGTAAGAGGACGAACAAATAGACAATAATAATAAGACATACTATCAGAGTGCCTGGCTGAGGTTTAGCACACGAAAGGCAGAAGGAAGGAGACACAGATGACAGACAGTGAAAGAGAGGAAGAAGAGCAAGGATCCCTGGAGCAGCGAGGGAATTTGTCACTACATGTTGTTTGAGTGTATTCCACTAGAGGGCAGCAGAATCTGTGCTACAAGGCAAGGCAGCCCCCAGCCTGCCAGCACACCAGCAAATACAGATAATTACAAACACACACTATCACAGTTGGACTTGTGCACTCTCTGGGTGGTTGTTCACAGTTTATACACACTTCCATGTCTGTGTGACATCACAGATTAACAGGTGGGGCAAACGCCTCAAGTCAAGTCAAATTTTATTTACAGCCAAAAAGGGCTAGCCACAGGAGGTTTTAACATTCAACATTCAACACCTTCTGTCCTTTGACCGTCCATTCAGGTAAGGAAAAACTCTTCAACAAACACTTGAAAAAAAGAAACCTCAGGAAGAGCCACAGAGGAGGGATCCCTCTCCCAGGACGACATGCAATAGATGTCGAGTGTAAAGAACAAACCAACAAAATCACATTATCTATACATTTTGAGGACACAATTTCTGAAACATAAAGGTTATAAAATATATGTGACGAATGTGGATCCAGGAGGATGATGAAACAACTACAGATGTTGCAGAGTAAAGAATACGACCTCCTCCCCGCCATGGAGACGTCATGTGTTGCAGAGTGGGACCTGAGCATCTTTAAATTGATTGGATTTCTGGGATCTATCTAAACATTCACCAATACAGTCCTAAATGTTCCCCCTAAACCACTTTTATCAGCTATATGGTTAGTAGTGTTGTTGATAGAATCACAGCGAACCTCCCTCTTCTGGTTAAAACCCGGCCACCCACTCCTATAAAACTAACGCCATGACTCTGCAGACTGTGGCCTGCTACGTAGCCAGGGTGAAACTCCCTCACAGACACACAAAAAATGACAACACAGGTACCACACAGAACCTTTAACAAGTGGCTGTGAATGTGCTTCTAGTGACTGTCGACGCTCCAGCGGACTCTTTGTGTTTCCAGCAGTCTGATAGCAACTGCTCATGGCTGGTTAGCTCGGATAGCTCTGACTACCGGCAGCTGCACTTCGGCTACACTTAATGGCAGTCAGTCTGTCACTGGCCGGTGTTACCTCTGCATCACATGCTCCGTAGCCTTTAGCCACCACCTGTGGCAGCCTATTATAACAATGGTGACAACAATTCATATCTAATACAACATTTCATATCTACCCCGAGTCACATGTTACAAGTGACCACCAAGTACAAGCTTACTTATGTGGGGTGGTGCACACAGATTGAGCTAGCAGCAACTGCGGGTTCTCGCTGTGTATTTTATTGCTGTATAAAATGATAAACAGCTTGAAGGGCAACGCACAAAGAGTAACACTGTGTTTATGAAATGTTGGTGAACTACGATGTGGTGAACTAAATCTTGCTTTGTTGTATCAACAACAAACATTAGCTGGCTAGCTAGCTTACATGGCTGTACTTACTGTACATACAACAATAAGTCGATTAATCAGTTAGTTCCTCAACAGAAAATTAGTTGGCAAATATTTTAATAATATAATAATAATCATTATTATAATTATTAAATAATATTATTAGTCGTTTTTTAAGTCAAGATGCCAGTGATTTGATGGTTCCAGATTCCCAAATGTGAGAATTTGCAGCTTTTATTTACCTTTCATAATTGTAAATGGAGCATCTTCGGCAAAACAACACATCACCTTGGGTTCCTGGTATAGTTGCAGAACTGATACATTCAACTGCATCAGCATAGATGTTCAGTTCAGACCTCCCTGCACCTTTCAAATGCTGCACTGATGTTCACTCAGTGCACATTCTGCAGTTTGGCTGTAAGCTTGTCTTTGGGTCTGAGGGACATTACCAGCAAACACACAGAACTGGGCCAGTCTGCATGTTTAGCAGTTTGGCATTGTTTAGCATCACCTGGAAGCTCCGACTGATGAATAATGGTTCATTTAGGCCTTGTGTGTGCTTTTAAAAACACGTACACGTATAAACAAGTAAACTGTAGTTGGCCAACAACTTTTTGAGTAAGTAAGTTTGTATGTTACTGAATCACGTGTTATTTACCTGTATGTAGCCCTGTTGGTCTATGAGCAGATTTTCAGGTTTCAGGTCTCTGTAGATCAGGTCCAGAGCGTGCAGGTACTCAAAGGTCAGGACAATCTGAGCAGCGTAGAACCGAGCGTGAGGCTCACTGTATACGCACACACATACAGGGAGATAGACAGAATGAGAGCAGTTTAGTATGGTGTACAGTACAGAACAGGATGGAGACGAACAAGTTAAATAAAACCGAGTCGAGCTAAAACACTGAATAGAGCAGAACCGAATAGAATAGAAGAAAACAAAGTGCTTCTGGCTGTAAATATCATGTAGACGCCATTGCATACAGACACTAACCTAAATCTGCCAATTCTCCGTAGATGGGAGAACATCTCTCCACCTGGTACATACTCCATCACCATGTAGAGGTTAGTGTTGTCCTGAGGAAGGGAAGACAGAGGACCTGTTAGTGACGCTCACTCACATACACATACATATTAACGCACTACAGACACGCATACACCCACAGGATGGGCAACTGGATGACATAGAAAAAAATAATATGTTCTTTAGATCCTGTAACAAAGCTAAATAACAGCAGCTTTTATCATAAAGGAAGATTTCATTCTTAACCCGCTCCTTGGTTGACACCTGCAAATACAACTTACTGTCGGATGCATCTAACTAGTTAATATGTGCTTGTTGTTGTCTCTTCAATCTGTGTGCAGGACAAGGCACGTGGACAGGAATATTCTGTTAATAGGTTTATTTGAGGCATCAAGGATATTCAGTCCCCTGGCATCCAACGTGCATCTAAACAGCTTAACCTGCATAAGGCTTTAATTGGAGTATGGCCATCCGCTGGGTTAGTCTGTACGGGTACAAACAGACACTGAGGAAGCTGAGTGGTGAAAATGTTGAAGAAGAGAGAGAATGTGTCTGTATGGTCATTTTGCATGTGGTAGATCAAGCTTATTTCACACTATAAATGCAGATGACAGCCCTTTAATAAGATTTATTGTCAGTGATGATGGCAGTGATAATAAGGATGAGTTTAGTAAACTGATTATTGCATCAGGAATTACCTACAGTTACAGAGATAGCAGTCGATTTCTATAAAAACAAACAATAGGCCTGTTTTGTGATGATAAGGGGTTCTTAGAAACCACTTTTTAGATAAACGTGTACAATGTTTATTCAAACCGAGGAAAGTTAAATGATTCATTCTGAGTGTTGAAATGACATTTTATCTCTGCTCTATGCAGAATATAGAACTACTGTATACTGTAATGAGGTGAGAATGTAATCTTTTGATTTTATGATTATGACCTATCTAGAAATAAATAATTGATTCTCACATCACATTTTAATAGTATTTTCTCCATTTTGGAAGATCTTCAGCTGAAACAACACCAATTTTGACATCATGGCCTATGTCAGTCTTTATTTGACACTACACAAAGTAACAAAGGTTTAAACTTCAACATCCATGTTTGCATCCTTGAAAAATGTCATGTTATTTACATTTACCAAATTACTTAATAAACACAAATAGTTACATGCAAGTAAAAAAACTGTCTTCAGCGGCCAGTCCATAGATATTATTCCAATTAAGCCTATACCTAGACTGTTAAGGTTGAGGTATGCTAGAAAGTGTCATCCAACCTTCAACAAAAATGTTGAGAAAGACAAATAACAACTGGCATGAGGGATGGAAGGAAAATCTATCCAGTCACTCACTGTCAACCACACACAGGCCTGTATACACACGCACACCATCTAAAATGCTCCGTACCTTGAACGAGTACTCTAACCGCACCAGAAAAGGAAAGCTGACAGCCTGAAGAATCCTCTTCTCATTCAGAGTGTGCTCTATCTGCTTGAGCTTCACCACCTGAAAGGCAAAGAAAGAGAGAAAGGGAGGACAGTTTATATTGTATCGTATAAAAAAACCAATGGGAAATCTAAATAATCTTTTAACAAAAATAAAGCAATATAATCTTTACATTACATTGGCAGTCAACAGCCCCTGGTCCGACAAATATATAATACATGCATGTGTTCTGTTTCCGTCCAGTATGTGCACAGTGGGACACTGCTATAAGCTGCTGTTCTACTTCTTTAGACTCAGAAAGTGCATCAAATAGTTTAGGCTTAGATAGAAAAAGCCAACCAAGAAAGTCAAAAAGGCCACAGTACTAAAAACATGTTGGGGGAAAAGTACAAATCAACAGTTCAAATCAGACCTAAAATAAAAAGATTTTGGAAAATATCTGCTATTTGGTTTTTATAATGACATACATTTAATTACGTATACATGTGTATAGAGATTATTTTTTATTGAAATAATAATAATTATTTTTTTAAGTAAATAAATGAACTAATAACATTCTGTAAAAAGTACTTGCTAATAATGCTTTTCCACCTGCATAATCTTTTATAAAATGTGGCGAGGCACTTAACACCAGTATCAAAAATAGCAGTTTACAGAAGCTCTGAAACCTCACAGCCTCGGCACAAAGCTCCACACCTTATTGTACTGAAATGTATTAAATGTAAGGCATAACATTTATTGCATGCCATCTACATTCAAATGATATATTTTTTAAAGAATGTTTCAGTTAAGTACTCTTTTTGGACACGTTTACCTGGCACTACCTATTCTACAGCTTTACAGGTAACTTGAGATACCAAGTGTAAGTCTTCCCATTAGACACTTGACTATCTGAAGATGACATATAGGTGTGTGTTTAAAGACCTCATTCTTGTGAATCAATCAAGTCAATATGGGTGTCACAGACATATTTTTCTACTTTTGGTACTCAGACACACAAACATGTAGTAATTATGGTGCAAACTGGAATGCGGGCCTGAACATAATGAATATATTCAGTAGGAGAAATACAGTCTAAACAGGTGGCATCAAAAATAGCCAGTCGCATCAGCTGCTTTTAACCAGCGGACAGCAGGATCATGTTCCAAGTTCCAAAGCCATGAGGTAAAAATGTAAATATAAAGAATCTGCTCTATCCATTTCTCCATTTCTATACCTACATATCATTTTCACACTGTGGGGGGCTGGAGAGTATTCCAGCATGCTTTTTGTCAGGTAGTTTGCCAGGTGGCTATCACATGCATGTCTTTGGACTGTGTTGCAAATCAAGAACCATGATTTTCAGGTATTAAATTCACTGGGTTAACCAATTAGACAAAAACAGACATGCCCATATGTGTATTTTATCTATACAAATATTTATCTATGAATTTTATGACTTAAGAGGGGAGGGGGGTGGGCGGGAACACAGGAAACATTTTTTTTTACTAAATTGGGTACCCAAATTACTCTACTTGATGTGATCTGCACAAAGACGACCTCGGCTCCGACACTGCAGTCGGGTTCAAAGAGATTCAAAGGGAAAAAAGGCTTGCACCTGTATTTGAGCCTACAGAGTACAATTTTCACATCAATGACATTTCCATATTTTCAATGACCCTCCTGTAGGATCCTGTCAGTGTCCTGAAATGACACACATTTAAATACCCTCTATCCCACTGTGACCTTCCTGACCCATGAACCAGACTGACCTTCTGCTTGTTGAGGATCTTCATGGCATAATGCTGTCCTGTTTCTTTGTGCCTCACCAGCATCACACGGCCAAATGAGCCCGTGCCCAGGGTTTTCAACCTCTCAAACTGCTCCAGGCAAGCAGTGTTCTGAACAGACAAAACAAAAAGGCTTAGTTGATTTTTGTGAAAATGGGATGGTGGGGGAAGTGAAATGTGTTTCTTGTGTCCTTTTATTTTTGTACAGTCAAGTGTATGCATATGGTATGTATGCATAAACAGTACTGTATATGTTTATAGTATGCAATACACACATATATGCATGCTTGTTATATCGTACATACACTGAAGAGCATATTAATATAGACCCTATATGAGGATCCTGTTCATATTTAACACTTTGATATAACTCTGTAAAATCTATCAACACATGGTTTATATATATATATATATATATATATATATATATATATCTATCAACACATGGTTTATATATATATATATATATATATATATATTTTTTTTTTTATATATATATATATATATATATTTTTATATATAAAAAGCTGTCAGGCTGTTACATGTCAAGTGTGTTATTTTTCACAACTTTCTGGGTCAAAGTGAAAAGTCCCCCTTTTACTTGCCAGTGATACAAAACAGAAGTATCAATCAGATATTGGGGCAATGGATCTGAAAATAATTTCTACTTTGGTCAATCAGAATCAAGTAGCAGCACACATAACATTAAAATCAGTACATAATATGGATCATCAGAACAATTTATCTAAAATGTCTATACTGTCTATAACATTAATGTTCAGTGTTCATTACATTCAACAAAACTCTTTACACATGTAAAAAAAAAATTCGGTATAAGTTGCTTGAAATCAATAACTTTCTTATCGAATTTGACAATGTGATCATATTATCACAATATGATTTAAGTCAATAAAATATAACACTAAATAATCAGACTACATATTTTACTTGGCCCTTGCTTTATTTCACTATCCAAATATATTAAGAATGTAGGTAACATTTACTGTCAGCCGGCAGAACAAAAAAGATCAACGGCTGGTATTTTTAAATTGCAAGAAGAATTGTAGACAGCAGGTCACACATATACGTGGTATCTTTGGTCACACAGGCTCCTACAGCACATGCTCGTATGCATGCAAGCAAAAAAAGTTGATTACATTAGAGAATATATATGTCACATTCCTGTTGCGTTCAATGAACAAACGTCTGAACACTAACCTGTGCAGGGTTCTCCCACTTCTTGAGAAAGTCCTCTTTGGCTTTAGCAAGGAACTCCTTGACTGTGGAAGACAAAACCACAAGAAAAGCTTCAGTAATATGTGTGTGTGTGTGTGTGTGTGTGTGTGTGTGTGTGTGTGTGTGTGTGTGTGTGTGTGTGTGTGTAAAGGGTGAAAGAAACAGGGTAGTAAATAGTAGGATACCTCCTACACTTTACGAAATCGATTGCAGAGGTTCAGTGTTTTTTTAAGAAATATAGCCCAGTTAATGCCGTTTACATATTGCATACAATCGTACATTTTACATTTGTTATGAATGCATGTCTTTTCTTGTTTGATCATTTCTGGACTTTGATAGATAGACAGCACATAAAAGGAAACCTTAAGAATGACCCAGGGATGAGTTGCAAACAGGTGCCACGCTGCTTTCAAACACAAGTAGTTGCATGTATTGCACCTTAACCCAGTAGGACAAACTCATCTATACTGAGATTAAACTTTGTTGTGTCCAATCCATCTTAAAATCAACTAGTCACAACTAACACAGATTATAAGGAGACATGGATTATGTGTCTTGTGTGTCAAGATTTGTAAGGACATGCAGCTCAGTTAGTCCACTGGAGACTCGTAGAGGCAGGACAGGGAGCCTATATAATACCAAATGTGCTGATTCTTTATATACTGCATCTACAACAATCTTAAAGGGGCACTCCACTTATTTCACAAATAAAAGCTACATTTACTTGACCTAGAGAGAACCACAAAGCAAAGAAAAACTGTTGTATAATGTTGTCTGTAGTTCTGGAGGGAGCTTCCTAAACTCTGAATATAACCCTAATGGTGTCATCAGGGTTATGGCAGATTGGGCTAACGGAAAATGCTATTCAGTTGCATTGTGGGAATTGTAGGTTCCAGTAGAATTAAAAGTCAGAATAGCGCTGCTTCTGTGCAAAATTGGAGTATCTCTTATTCCCTTAGAGCAAGCTAAACTTGAAAATAAACAAATAAATTATTTAAACTTAGTTCACTTTCAGCAAAGGAATAAAGCACAAGGAAAGATCTAGACTTGGCATTCTTCTTCTTAAACCATATTTTCATGCACTCTTTTCATAGGATGTGTAGGGTACCCAGCAGAGCCAGCCAATACCGGGGACTGACTTGAGTATAAGATACACACACACACACACACACACACACACACACACACACACACACACTTCTTAAATTCCTCACTGCTACTAGAAATGTAAATATCAGTCGTAATTTTATGTGCCATGGTAAAAAGCCCTGGCATATACCTACTCCAGGAAGCCTTGGACATTAGCATACTCTCATCCTTCCACTGGACTTCCAGTACAGGGGACACACTCAGACCAGCTCAGCCAAACCTGCAGACTTTTAAGGGCGCACTAAACAAAACAGTCCTCACATAGATTACATTCAGCTCACCCACACAGTTTCAGTAGCATCTCTTTCCAAAAAGGAGTGAAGCAACAGGCCTAGAGTGTTTGGGACATGTTGTGATATTGCCAGTATTACAGTACAGTGAATATGCCAAGACGCTTGCAGCTTACAATTTAGCTGTTGGCTGTTTTGCAGCTCATACAGAGATTTGGCTATTGACACAGTACTTCATCCTACTTTTGACCCCCCCCAACTTGTAAAGAGATTCCCTCTCATCTACATTCAATACTCCTTCATTGAAATTAATCAGATTTAGGTAATTGGCGCAAGCTAATTCGTTTGCAGCAAGGACTTATCATGGACGTACGAGTGGATTTTAATGAACTGGAAAGCAGGAACAAGGCCTCTAATTGACAGTGTATGGCTTGTTATGTAAAGCTCATATAGCCTGCTGTATCGCATCGTCCCTGATCGTTTCATGAGGCTGTGACCGAGCAGGTGCTGCTCAGGAGTGATGGTACCCACCGCTTTCCATCTCGCTGCCCTTCCTGGCCGTGGGCGCGTTGCCCATGATGACAACTTGTCAACGGGCAATCCGTGGCTTCTTGGCCGCCCTGCAGCCCTCTCAAGCCGGTCTAAGCTCGATTAGGTCTGAACGGTGATTCCTAAATCCAGTTGTAACAGTTACCAAGCGTTAACTCCGAGGTCTTGATCTTTAATAGCCTGACAGCTGCTGATGCGGTGCCACGGCGAGACGAGACGGGGTAGTGCAGCGGGCTTCACTCACTCACTCCGCGCTCATCAACAACCGGCGACCGATATCGAGCTTAAATCCACGGGGAGCTGTCGCTGTGGTATCTCGGTCGCTGGGGCTTCACTCGACTGTCAGGCCGACCTCGGCGCAGCTGGCCTGAACACGGAGGATCCAGTCTTCTCCTGTCCCTCCTTGCAGCCCCCTCCGAGCGAGGCCCCCCGGCTCCCCACCTCTCCCCCAGCCCAAAAAACAGCGATACCGACGGCGGGGATGCGGTATTCTCAACCGAAAGCCTTCCGCTTTTCGTTACCGAACCCAGCTTTAAAAATTAAACATCGGCGGGGTCCGACAACGACGGGAATTAGCCCAAATCAACATTGGCCCCCTGTAGCCTCGGAGACGAGCGAGATGACGGAACTACAGCCGACCGAACGCCCCGCCCACTCGCCAGAACCGGGGTTGATTGAAAGGTGTAGCTAGGCAACGGATTGGCCACATCTCTACGGTGCTGTCCCACGGAGAGCTCTGATTGGCTCTTGGCGATCCATCAAAAACAGCAGAGTCCCGCCGCCCTACAAAAAGCAAGCGAGGGGAACGTCACCGATTATTTTCCTCCCGACCATGTACGCGCCCACTTTCTCCGGTTTCTCTCCTCCATTGGCTTGGCGCGGCCGAACCGTGGGAATCTCGGTGAATGCGAAGATATCTATTGGCTGTCAGCAGCGGTTGACAAGAATGCCCCCCCGCCCCCCCACTCCACCGCCGCCAAGCGACTCATACACGTTTGGCTAAGTGACGTCAACCGCGAGCTATTTTTAGAAATGTTGGTCAGAATTTAACGCACGCGCGGCGCGGTCTGGCTGGCAGGACTTCTGAACAGATCGCAGACGGTCGTGTATGGACGGAAGAGTTTATCTGGAGGGAAATGAATCCAATAAAAGACTTCCTTTGTTTTGTTTCTGTTTTACAGTCGCTGGTTGGATGAAGACACACAGAGCCACATGCTGTCTGTATACCAACGACCTTTACTGTCACGATCCTTCAACAGCACCTTTGTAATCCTCTCCCCACACCTGGCCTGCCTACAGGGAGAGAGCAGCAGATGCCCAACGGCCCCCTTATTATCAGGATCCTCAAAAGGCCCAATTTCACATAGATTTGCATCTGAATATCTGATTTCAATAATAATTTGAGCTTGTGTTTGGTAAAAATCGGAATTTAAAAGGGACTCCAGGTTTATGAACAATCACCCAAGCTATACATAGGAGATCTCTACAGCTATTACAAGGTCTGCCACCATCATATTATGGTTCCACAGCCACCTTCTTTACTACATGAAATGGGCCCAAACCACTATACCTGTATTTATTATATATAGGCCTTTATTTATGTGACATCTCACTGCATTCTTAGTTATTATAGAAGCTTTGAGCAATAATAATACCATCAGTGCTTGCCTGACACATATGGTGTAACCTGGACTTCCGATCAGGTTAATCATGTTACTTCTCTGGACCTTCTGGATTCTAAAACTGCAGTCTCAGGCTGCAGCTAGTTTGTTTTCATTGTCAATTACCAAGGGTGACATTCTCAAATAGTTTTTGTTTTGTCCACTCAATATACTAAAATCAAAAGATATTAAAATTACAGTGATATCAAACCGAAAAAGCAACACATTCTAACATTTGAGAAATCTTAACCAGCAAACGTTTGCCATTTGTCCTTGGAAATTACTTAATTATCACAAATATGTAATTAACTTGCTGTCTCTTCTCAACTGGCACACAAACCCTGACTATGCTGTCTACTCACCTACTACCACAGACAGATATTATAGGGCAGGGCAGGTGATGCTGCATTTAGATATTGATGGCAAATATGAACATGTTTTTCAACCTGGTCTCTCGCTATATCCACGTTTTCCACTGAGTATTGCTTAACAGGTAACAGATGGAAGGACGGCGGAGTAAGTCCCCTCAACTAAGAGGAGATAAAATGGGTGAGAGCAGACAGTCCCCCTCCCTTTTGTACTGCAGTTGCCTAGCAACCTGAGGCTAGAGTGAAAATGGCAGAGAGATGCTGCTGCATTTTATGAATGAAATTGGAAAAAAGAAAGGAGCTGGAGTGGGGAGGGGAAAGTGTGGGCTGATGCATGCACACACGCTGAGTCTCACTGCCGTTGCTGTGCTTCCTTCCTCACTAGGTAAGGTGGAAGTAAGATGTGGTGATTGCCAGAAAGCAGCACAAGGTCCACAAAACAAAATTTATTAACTGTTGTTACAAATACTGAGGCAGAGAATATATAGTAAGTACAAAAAGAAAATACGTCGTCTCATCTTGAAGACAAAATAAGCGCTGGGAGAGCATTATTTACAGTATGCTTAAATCAACTGGACTGCAATATGGCATTCATTTCTCCTTTACCCACATGTTTTGTGCATAATTACAGACAGACATCTTATGCAACATTTTAAAGAACATTATTCTGACTCGGGTCCTGTTTGAAGAATGAGATTTACAGAGTTATCTGGATAACTTGAGGGTGAATCACGGTTGTACTCTGCATAAGCTATCCAGCTAACAGTAAGTAAAGCTACTTCTTACAACAGGCCTCTAATCAAGAGCCATTTTCCAATCCGATAATTTGCTTCCACAGGAACTCCAGATGCTGCAAATTTACATCAGACGAGACAAACCATCAGAACAATAAAATGCTTTACTATAAGCAGCTAGTGCTACATCTATTTTGACATATGGAGCACTGCCCATAGCTTTGATCTGTGCTCAAGGGGACAAAATGAACAGCAGAGTATGGATACCAAACAGGTCAACATGAGTATGAATATGACTAGCAAGACTCAGGGCTGTGAGGATATGGTGGTTCTGTCTTTAGGTCTCCCCACCCTGATGACTCAAACTTCCTCTGGCTGAGCTTTAACATCATCCAAGATAGAGATTATGGTGAAATAAGGCAGTGTTGGTTGTGCAGATTTGTGTGTTGAAAGAGAGGGTGAACAAGAAAGAAAAACAGTTTGTAACAATTCCTCTTCCCATTTGTGTACACTGTATAAAAATAAGATCCCTGCTTCCTGTTAATGTCCGCATGTTAAGAAGATACATTCATTGGCTCCTTGTCCAAATGTGTGTTGGTGATGTGGTTGAGTGTACGGATATGAAGAGCTTCTTGTCCATTATTTTATTCTGATGATTCTTACATGCAGTCCATGGAGTTGTCCGGCATCAATCCAAGAGGTGGCATCTTCCCTGGTATACAGGACGGAGGGAGCATACTGCTGATGTTGGGGGACGGGTCAACGTTCTCGCTGTCCTCCATCTTGTCCGCTGAGCCCTCCCAGTTGATATGAAAGCGGGTGACACGAGGGTTGGAGGCCAAAATATTCCTCTGAAGCTGAAAGAATGAAAGCAACATCAGTGTGGTGTCAGAATTACGGTTTATCGGTGGTTAGGTCCGACAGTATGTATCAAAATATGACACTGCGTTGATAAAGACAGGAGTTGTCACAGCTGCCTGAATGTTCTTGTGATTGTGTTGTGAAGTACATCCTCTCCAGATATTAACAGATGGAGGGAATCAATGTCACAAACAGTATCAAATGAACAAATATTAGCTAGAATCAGTGATGAAAATGGCAACTTTAAAAAAGGGTCATGGGACCGTGTTTTCACTCTCGGTGCTGCTGGGACACTGACGGTCTGGTTGTGTTGCTATGGCAGTTGGATGTTTATTCTGGTTATTCTGGTTATGTGCATTTGTCAAAGGCTTTTGGATGACTTGTAAGTAGAGGCAGTAATACTGTCTGTTTATAAGTTTTCACATATTACAAAAATAATAAAGGTTTAAGAAGAAAGAGGTCCAAATGAACGCAGTAGTGATCGAGATATCTTGTTTTGCTCCAAACATGGGTCAATTTCCAATGGACTAATATCTTTTCATTAGGCCTGCCTGGTAAACACCAACGTCAGTCACAGGAGACATTATAAATGTTTATTTATGCTGAATGATCACCCCTATCTAGTACACTGATTTTGATGTGTAAAATGGATGTACACACATGGAGTTCACATTTAATTGTGGGGATAAATAAATATATACAAAAAGGTACTTTTTCTATGTACAGTATTGATAGCTTCTGTTCCAATGGCTTCAAATGATCCAAGTTATTTCTCGTAGTTCTCTTATTTTATTGGGGAGAGGAAACAAGATTCTGGAGTTTTTAGGTCTATATCATAATCAAAATAAGTATCGACCCCTGTACTGGACAGTAACATTAGGACACGATCTTGTTACTCAACCTTACAAGATAAAAATGAAGACTAAACTAAAACTAAACTAAAACTTCAGCTCCCGTGCAGCTTTGACAGTGCCTTCAGTGGCTAAGAGTATCCATTGCTATTAAATGCAAACATAACACAAGCCATTAAAAAAAAAAAAAAAAAAAACTTTGTTAAACTGGCATAGCGCTCAAGCCTAGTTTAGAAGATAAACAGAAAAGCCTTTTAGACTGATAATGCAGTATTTGGTCAAGGCCTAAAAAAGGACTAGCTTTAGAAGCTTTTGTGGTATAGGGCAACAATTGGTGATATCCTTCATTATCAATTAATCAAATTTTGTTTTTCTTATTCAATCTGTCAAATGTCAGAATATATTTTTTTTAAATATAATTTTATAGGGCACAAAGTGTCATCTTTTATAAAATTGTTTATTTTGTCTGACCAACAGTAAAAAAATATAATCAATTTCCAATGACATAAACAGACAAAAGCAGACAACTGAGAATCTAGAACAAGTGAATGTGTTTTTTCTCTTATAGCTGAAACAATTCATATTTTAGAAAAACTGCCAGCTAACTAATTGACTAGAACAGTATCATAATGCAATAAAATAAAGGTTCTATTATTGTTTAAGCTTGACTATGAACTTTTCATACAAATTCATGTTGTCGGACAGAGTTATGGGTCATCGCCTCGTTGGATCAACTGTTTCTCAACAACTGGTACAAAAATCCTGTGAATAGTTGTTTTTATGTTGGATTCCTGGAACAATTAAGACCAATTAAATAGGATGAGGCTGTAAAGATCAGCTGTACATAGGAAGCCTCGTTATTGTGGATTAATATTCAGATTTAGATTTTGCTGATACCGCTGCAAAAATTATAAAATGCACATACATTGGGCCTGACCTTACCTGTAACTTCATTTTCAGAGCACCAGAGGGCAGTAGATAACAGTGTATATATTTCAATAGATCCTTTTCAAAAGCATGGCCCATGCACTGCGTCATATGTTTAAGTTATCTGCAGATGAGATATTGCACCACTGCACTTCTCTCCATAGCAGAAATCAGGGACAGTTATTTCAGCGTGTGCGTGCGTGTGTGCGTGTGTGCGTGTGTTACCTGAGTGTAGTCTGGTTTGAGAGGTGGGTTTTCCCGGAGTTCAGGGTCTGTGTATTCATTGTTGACATAGTAACCGATGCGGATGAACTCCTGTCCACGGTAGGTGCAGGTTATGAGGACTACAGTCACTCCTACAGCATCACTCTCTGGAATCAGCCCTGTGTTAGGAGCATCAGCCTGAGAGGGCAGACAGGAACACAGAGAGGAAGAAATCAGATCAAAGTAAACCACAATAATCATGCTATTAATACAGCACCAAGCAAAAGGAAGATCAAATCAAATCAGGGACATCAAATACATTAACCTACAGTTCTTTGATTTGTAGTCCTAGTATGACATAGCATGGAGGTGAAAAAAACCACAGTTTACTTACCTGAAACACAAACATGTGTCTGCCAGCCGGTACGGGGCCAACTAGAACAGAGTCCAGAACCTGGTCGTATTCCTCGCTCTCAGCTGAACCCACATAGATTATCTTCCACTCCAGATCTGACATCAGACATAATAGAGAGACTTAAGGTATAACGTTAGTTCTGTTTGCAAGAATTACACACAAGTAATTCATTCAACCTAGAAAGATTGACGCCACAATAAATACGCACAAAAAACAAACAAGCAGACAGTAAGAATATAGATGAATGGGCATTATGGCCATCTCTTGACACTGTGCTTTGAGATATACAAGAACTGGTTTCGCATCAGGAATGGATGAATAAATTCAAGTATGAAACAGCTTCTTAGACTTGTCTAACTGAAATGTAAGAAACACAAGAATGCTTGTTTTAATGGGTTTTGTTTGTTTGCACCGCTATATTAAGTGACATCAATAGATAGAAAAATAGATCATAAAAATTCCAGGTGTCAAATTTCAACAGTATTCATCTCTAGACACTTCAGTTTGATGTCTTAAAACATCAGTGCACACAAATATACAAAATCCCAAGTTAGTTACACTGGTCGATGGCACTTAATATTTTCACTGTATACAAAATGTCACCACTAAAGCTTCCCTGTTGTCTCTCCCCGCCGTTCGCGGCAACTCTGAGCTTGTCTGTTGCTACAGTAACGTAAGGTGATCAACCAATCAGCTTCTCGGAAAAAACTCCGAAGAACGTCCGCGAACCAATCAGTGCAGGCAGGGGGCGGGGCGCCGAGCACAAACGCGCCAGCGCCAATTTTCAACCACTTGTCAAATGAAATATCACTAACCAACTCCAACGACAACTAACGTCTTAATATCATCGAGCAGAAACAGCGAGGTTCACGTCGCACCCCATCGACATGCGACGTATAAGCAACCAATTACCCAGAGTGCGCGCAGAGAGGTCGCTAGTATTCACTAGCTAACAGATTAAACACGCACACATTAGCTGAAAAGATTACCCACCTTCCGGTAAATCCTCCATGCACTCAAACGTTATTTCAAACTGAAACGGGTTCCCAAACGGGCTCGGGTTGTCCAGCACAGCGACATTCAGCACTTGTACCTTTGCCATAACGCTATCTCCTGAAGCAACCTGGAAAACTAATTCACTTTAAGTTGAACGAGTCACTCGGCACTTTGCTCCCGCGGTGTTCCCGGGTCGGCTCACACGGTCCGGCGTTGTCCCTCCTGTAAGAAGGGAAGTTAAAGTCTGATTCTTTTATTCTCCGAGAACACCAACAGGACCCGGCGGCGGCTACAGCAGGAAGTGCGTCACTATCTTCTTCTTCTCCTTTTCCTTTTAACGCAACTTGCATTCGCGTTGTTGCGTTGCTGCCATCTTCTGGAGGCAGTTCACTCTTACAGTTTTGTCTCATCTGAATCTTTTTTCATTTCTTCCATCATGTCCTTTAGACTCTGATGTATATTCCCTGCAACTAACAAATACATCCTGTCCTATAGTTTAGCTATAGCTGACACTGTTCATAAAGACTGGCTGGACAGTATCCATCGAGTCTCTTTGGAAATTAAAAAAAATATGATCATGTTTATTTATTTTTATTTTATTTCTTTGTTTAGTTATTTAATTTCTTTGCGTGTTTGTATGCGGAGAGAATACGCTCTGTGTGAGGGTAAGCTGAAAACAGCGTCCTGTTCTTAATAGTCATTACTTCTTCTTTCCCAGTTCCATACATAATGCTTTCATCTATGTTTTATTTTTTAACAGCTATTTTGGTGAGTTCATCCTCTCTTATTACCCAGAATGCCAATTTGAGCAGGAACCCAAATGAGCGTGACCAGGTGCCTTGTTTTATTATTTGTAAGAGTATTTTCTATTATTAAAATAGTGCTAATTAGGATAATTACTGTATGCACTTGACATCTACAGAGCAGAGACTGATCACTACAGACTAATAATGTGTTTGGTTTGTTTGACCAAATAGCATACAACAGTGTACACGAGAAGTTGTTTGCATATCTCTACTTTTGCACTTAGATGTTTTGTTCTTTATTCTTCTTCACCGTCTTTATCTCCATTTTCATTTGTTAAACAAGTCGGAAATAATTGAGGTTTTTAATAATGCTCTATCCTATAATGTTTAAGAAGAAACCATTGTTGGGCCTGGCCTCAGTTTGTGCCTCTCATGTCTTGTTGTACTACAAAAAGAGCAAGGTCATTTCATTGGAAATACCTTCAGAACACAAACTTCTGGGATCTGAAAGATCACTGGGTATTAAAAAGTACTGAAAGCTTATCCTCTTGTGACTCGAATGTAACGGTAATACATGAGAGATACAAACTGGGGATGTAATAGCACAAGCTCTGTAGACTAAATAGTATCTTTTCTTTTTAAGTGACAAGGAAAACTTGATTTGCTCTGACCACTTTGGTCCTGATTTAATTTTATTATCTTTTACTGATTGTGGGATAGAATAATAAAATCTGTCCCCTTTTCCATTGCTGGCTCCCATTTACTTTAGACTTACTTAGAACTCTTCTTAAACCATGAACACAGAGTTCCCCAGTACTCTAGGTTTCTCATGAACTTTAGTATGTCTTTCTTGTAGTTACACTTTGTCCTCAGAATTGAACAGCTATGCGTACGCATGGCAAAGTTTGCAAGTTGGGACTTTTGAAAAAAAAAAGCTTCTTCCATAAAAATTAGTGAGTTTGCCTTCTCATGTTAAAGTCCAAATTTGGCTTCAGTGAAGGTTCTTGAATTGCCTGAAATCAGCACTGCACGCCTTGAGGAAAATTGTGAGAATTAGAGTAAAAAGTAAACAAAGGGCACACCTGGTCTAAAGTATGTATTAAGGTGCACATATTCATGCATGCAGCTTGAGCATGAAAGACACGTGACGCTATGATTTTCACAGATTTAGCTGATATTGTGACACTTCCTTCAAATCCACAAGGCTTTTTGTTTATTATGTCACAATATTTTTTTACACCCTATAAATCCTAGAGGCAGAATGTTTATGTGTTCTTTAAGAGTTTGCGATATTTATGCTTCAACAATTTACATTTGAGAGATGTTTCGGTCACTCTACTCTTTACACAGAGCAGACTGGCTTTGTAAACAAACCAGAGCGAGGCTGCTATAACATCTGTTATAGGAGGGAGTATGACATCATGCTCAGGACACCCTGATGTATAGCTTTACATACCGAATATTTGTTTGCTGCTTTATTAATGTTTTGAATCTCATAACCTTTAAATTAAAGGTCCAGTGTGTAACATGTGACTATTTCTACTTGCAGAAATTCATTCTTCAATCCCCATGAAACGTGACATGTCAGTTGTGGTAAAAAATTACATATTCTATATGGGTCTCACACATATTTGTAAATGTTTTACTGCATAATTTTGGATCTTAACGCTTGGGAAGGATATCAAATCATTCCAAGTCTAAAGGCTAAAGTCCAAGTAAAGTCATGAGTCACTGGTGTTCAGGTTGTAAGTGTTTTTAGATTTTGTCAAGTTTATCATACTCATCAGATTCATGACAATGGTCCACACCCCTGCTTTATTATTTATTTATCCTTTTTCTAAAGCCTGTGATACATACCAGTTTGTTTGAGTCAAATGGAAATAATGTATGTAAAGTCAGCATTAATTTAAATAAAGCTCATTTGAATTTGAGAAAGAATGCCAGAGGACACAGAGGGAAGAAAAACGGGTTACCTTGTCCAAGTAGATGATGAGTGAGCCTCTTTCTGACAAAACTGTGTTCATCTCATATTTTGAAATGGTACGAATGTGTCCTTTCGAAAAACTACACAAACACACAGACACACACATCATCAAATAAACACATCTTATGTATGTCTATATGTGTGTGTCAGACTTACTAAGTTCAAATCATTTATGTTAATGGTGAAGCCAATTAACTATTAATACTACTATATCCAGGATTGACAGGATTTATGGATGCATCACGCTCCTTGTCCTTATATCTGTACAGAAAATGAACAAAATACTTAAAATAACAGAATAAAAGGGGGAAGCACATCACTTTAACAAATATCCAAATACATAACCTTTATAAAGTGTGACAGCCCCTTGACTTCCTGTTTGGGCTGTCTTTCCCTTTTAGTAGGGAAGCAGGAAGTGTATCACTAATTAGCACCTGCTGCTCCTCAGCTATATAAGTTATAAGCTTCTCTCTCACTTCCTGGGCATATGGTTTGTTGTTTGGGTTAGACTTGCGTCTGTGTTCATTTTCTTTGTACATTACACTTCACTGTTACACAAACACGCTTGACACTACAGATGTACTAATTAACATACTTTATATTATCATTGTTTCACACACACGTATATATCTTGTTTAATAAATATTTAGTTAAATTGTCATGTGTTGTCCTCTCCTCTTTGTTCTTCCTTCGAGCCGGGCTGTGACAAAGGATATGTGAAGGAAGTGTGATAAACTTAAGAATAGTGAATCATTATTTGGATTATTATTGTAACTAGCAGCTCCAAAAGAGTTTTCAAATGTTTTCATCACTGATACTGTATGTTACACATTCACAATGTCATCAAACTTGGTCTTTTGTTTTGATGCCAGAGTGGTAGAAACTGCATACTGTACATTCAACTGCATCAGTTTCTCTGATGATTGGAGATAGCAACTTGTGTGACGTAAAAGGCAATTAATAGATAATAGGAAGGCTGAAAAGCAAACAAAAATGCAACAATACAAGGGAAGGAACATTCTGCATAAAACCATGTCACGGTAACAGTGTGACTTTTTCATTGTACTTACAAAACATTTACCATGAGCTATCTTTTCATACTCATCCATTGTTTCTGGAGAAGAAAAATATTAGCTGTCCTGTCTAATAAAGGGAAAATTGCAGATGCAGATTGGACAAAGTAGCCTAATGTTGTAGAACTTCCTCTTTTGTGGTGAAAGGTAAATGTTCTGCGCCTGCGCCGCACCACGGCATCGTCCTTTTAAACTCAAGATTTTGATAACTTTTGACCGTGATGGTCTTTTCATTATATTGATAAAATTTGACATTGGTCTGATTAATTGCCCAGGCGGAGATCCAACCCTAACCCTAAGCCCCAGAAGAAGAATATGGCCTCTTTTTAAAAAAAAAAGTAAAGACACAAAAACAATGAGAAAAACCAAGTAAACAAATTCAAATAGATATCTGGTAGCAATATGGGAGACAGGGGGCTTCTAATGACAGATATTTTTTGATAAATTTTACGATTTTTCAAGACATTTTTGTCATAGTTTCGTTAGCCACGTGACATTTCAGACTATTACTTGACTAATGGACTTTTCTCACCTTCTTTTGATGGTTTTTATTGAATACCTTAAAAGTGTTTGAATTTTGTTATCCAGTTTCTCCAGCATGACATGACTCAGGTGAAACTCGGCCCCATAGTCAGTCTGAACTTGATCCCATAAGCTGTGATTAAACACTGCTTGCCTTTAAGAATGACAACAAAAACCTATTTGACCAAGCACTGATTTCTTTCACCCCATTTTAAATGGGTATTTTCCTCACTGAACCTCTGACAACCCCCACTGTCCTAATAATGTAAAATTACAGTAGAAACATTAAATTTTTTTATTACACCTATCTACCTATCTAAGTCTGCCAGCACAGACCAGACCTTCAAGGGCTTGTAGACCTGGTTTTAGACGGGCTCAGAATCATCAAAGTACTCGAATAAGCGGTCTCATGTTTTTAAAGGTGCAATCAGTAATATTTTACTCTTTGCTCAAAGTTGCCATAATTCAGGAGCCTGGACTTACAAGTATTGCTTATCAATGCCAGTAATTTCTCTGTAGCTGAAATTTCACAGTATCTAAACAGGCAGAGCTGTCCTAAATCAATTTTATTGTCAATACTCATCTCCTAGCCCCTTAAACTAGGTAAGTGCAATGCACTTGGGTTAGATTCCCCAAAACGCAAGTGAACATCTCTGCAATGTCTGAAAACTTCAGTCAAAGCAACCAACAGAATGTAATATTTTAGTTAAAGTTGTATGTATTTAATAACCAAGGTTTAATGCCAACCTTCTACGCTAAACACTATTATCATATGCAGCCTCAGGTGTTATCTATAGACTACTCTATCTGTTACCAAGTGTTTAGTTTGAAAATCATTAGCCACATCTTGAGTGTATAGGCTTTCAAAAAACATTTGGAGGAAAACAAATACCCAATGTTGTTGTAGTTCCTCAGTCCTGCCACTAGATGATGCTACGCATCTAGGGTAAATGGGTAAAAACAATATTACTGACTGCACCT